TAAAAAGTGACATAATTGGTAAAAAACTTCAATATAAATAAAATTTCATGTGACAGTTGGGACAAACAATAACATAACCAAACTAAATTTGACTTCTTAAACAAGGAAAGAGACTGTCTATCCTTGTTTAAAGTGGCCTCTCAAGATAGCACTTCCTGTCTAACAATATTTTTGTCCCCACTACCTTTACATTCCGTCTTTTATCTTTTTGCTCGATGATCTAAACACAATTTTTTTTAAATCATTTTACTTTCATAGTCACTATACAGTACGTTAAGTTTTGGCTAAAATCGGCAACATTGCTCCGTACGAGGTAAATTCTCCGATCCCTCGGACACCTAGACTCCTAGACAGAAAACGAGAAATTAAAACAATTTAGTAACATGTAATAACGCATGGGATATGCATTTCCGTCCGTCGATTTTGTTTTGCTTATGTATACCCGGTTCATTTCTTATAACATAAATTCGATAAAAATACACTGACCTTTATAAGGCGGTGCATTTGAATCTGTTTTTAATAATGTGATCAATTTTTTGTGGTTGAATTAAAAATAAAAGCTCATTTCTTTAAAAAGATATACTCTTATTGAAAATAAAAAATAATTCCTAATAAAATACGAAATAATTCTTTGTGAAGAATTGTTTCCTACAGAAATGATTCAAATATTTGACCTTCGTTGGTTGAAAAGTATCACAAACTGTCAGAACAACTTCTGAGGACAGATGTAAAAGTTTCTGCTGTAACGGAATTGGAGACTTCTCTTATTCGGTTTTTTAATTCGTCCAAATTTTGGGCTCTAGACTCAGAATGATCTTAGAAGATGCATTTTAAGTCCCCAAAAAAAGAAGTCAATGGGTGTAAGATCTGGAGATCGTGCAGTCTGTTCCACTGATAACTCGAATTGTTTAAGTACTCCATGATTATTCCAGCGTTGTGAACTGAACAGCCGTCTTGATAGAAATAAACATTCTCCAGATTTACATCAGAAAATTGAGAATTAAAAAAAATGGGCATTGATTGGAAACATAACAAGATCCCCTCTACAGAAGAACCGTTGAACATTATAAGAGAAAAACAATACAATATAGAACTACTCCAAGAACAATCAATAAGAGAACTATAAAAAAAAATTTTTTTTTACATGTAGTGACTTAATTACTATTTATAACTGGGAATAAGCCACAATTAAAGATAAAAATACGTTTATTGACGTTTCAATTTCCAATTCGGAAATCGTTCTCAAAATACAAACAGTAAATTAAACAAATTTTGTTTTTTGTTACATAGTGAAAAAATTCTTCTAATAATTTAATTTTATCTGACTCATTTATATTATAAAGTCGTCTACTTTAAAATGCATAATGTATGTCTGAATTGTCAATATAAATGAGAAATTTGTTTAATTTGCTGTTTGTATTTTGAGAACGATTTCCGAATTGGAAATTGAAACGTCAATAAACGTATTTTTATCTTTAATTGTGGCTTATTCCCAGTTATAAATAGTAATTAATTTACAATGCCACAAGAAAATAGCTTCAGAACAATGTAGTGACTTAGTGGGTATGTCCTATGTGTTTAATATTATTTTAATCGTGACGTCTACTTGTTAGTACCAAATTTTTACATGCTTGTCAATATTACTTCTTGAAAAAGGCATGGATTTCCTGCCGAAACGTCGAAAAAAATATATAAAAATGTCTTAGTATCAAATTAATTTTTTTTATGAATCAATTAATTAATTAAGCCCAAGAAAATCCATTAATTTATATATATATATATATATATATATATATATATATATATATATATATATATATATATTGATTGAGAATAGCTGTAACAAATCGAGGAATACTCTACTGTTGATCCCAATAAAAAATGGATCTATTATGTGGTCTCCTAAAATGCCAGTCCAGATGTTAACTTTTTGAGGATGTTGAGTTCGATAAAAACACTTCTATGCTGGTTTTCCCGCGCCCAATAACTTTTTAAGTATATTTAGTAATAGGCGAGTCAATGAAGCAGTAAAATGCCCAAAATCGACAAATTTTTTGCAGTAGTATGGACCTCAATAAAAGTTTTTGCATTCGATTCGTAAGAGCTATAGCAAATTTTGTGAATTAAAATAAAAATTGTATTGTTGAACAATGAAAATGACCATGAATAAAAATTCGTGTTCAGCGACTTCAAAAACATCGGAGTAACGAGTTTGTACTGATTTTGTATCGAATTTCCACAAACTTCAGGAGACGTCCTGTGCACCAGGTGCCTCGGAGATTATCGCTTTCATGATACTCGTGATCAGCCACCCGAAAATCGCCAAGTATCGTGTTTGCACTGATGTATCGAATTTACATAATTTTCTAAAGCTCTTACGAATCGAATACAAGTTTCATTGAAATCTATCTAACTCCAAAAAATTTGTAGGTTTATTGCCTCGGCTATACAAAAAAGGATGCAGTAATGCGGGAATACGTCAAACAAATCATAGTAGAAAAAGGACTGTTTGTTTTTTTTTTTTTTTTTTTTGTTTGAATGACAAATTTCTATTTAGAATATCCTGCTTTTTAAATGTTTAAAATTATGTACCGCTTATCGCGTAAGTACGAGATTATATACGAATAACAAGCCACATTCTTCATTAATAACTCTCTTGAAATGCAACCATGATCGCATTATAGCGTATCTTCATAAGATAGGAATTTATTTAATCAAATGCATTTGTTGAATGAAAAGTTTTTTCAGATAAGAGTTTGGAATACTATATTTTAAATATATTTTTTCTACAGTGTGACCCATTTAGATTGGAAACACCTCTATAAAATTTGAAGTTGTTAAGCGATTTTAACCAATTTTTTTTTAATGTCATGTAATAAAAGGTCTATTGCGGGAAAAAATATGAAATATTTAGTTAAATTTTCAGGGCCATTCTACGATACTTTTTCTTCGTTGAAAATGGAGAATTTGTATTAACGATTTTTTTATTAAAAAATTTCTACGCCACTGGATTTAGAGTGGCTTCAAATAGCTATGACAAAAATTTCATTAAGATATATTTATGAATAACAAACTTATGACAACTTAAAATTTTAAAACTCACTAACAAAAAAACACTCTGTATTAACGTTAAAAAAAACACTCTGTATTAACAGAAACATGGAAACATAATTTTAGTTTAAATCCTAGGTGCCTCTACTAATCCGCCGTCTAATTGGATACATTTATAGTAGCGTTTATGAATATTTCTAATTACATTTCTTAGTTGTTGGGGAGTAATTTCTGTACATGCCTGTCGAATTCTTGCACGAAGTTCGTTTATGTCTCCTGCACGGGTTTGGTAAACTTTTTGTTTGATAACTCCCCAGAGAAAGAAGTCTAAAATTGTGAGATCTGGAGATCTGGGTGGCCAATCTATCAACGGACTATCATGCTGGCGTAATGAACAGAACACCCATCTAACTGGATATACAAATTTAATCGTTCATTAATTGGGAACTCATGAATAGCATCCCACAAGTCGGTGTTTAAAAGTTCTAAAAAGTTCTGTGAGTTCAAGTTTTCTTCAAAAAAGAAAGGGCCAATAACTCGTTCGTTCAGTATTCCACACCAGACATTGATTTTTTGAGCAACAAATAAAAAAATATTTTTTTGACCTATATTTGAGTTAATCCCGTTTTCATCAAAAATTGACTTGTCCCCTCTTTCACGTCCAACAGAATTTAAATTCAACATTTTACTGTTTTCAATGATCTCATTTTAATTTTTAATCTCCGATTTTATCATAGGTATGGATAACAAAATGGATCTTGTAGGTTATTTCTATTATACAAAAATATTTAATGTCATTTGTCAAAATAAAAGATTCCTTTAATATGAGTCCGCTAGATGCAAAACTTTGTATTTACTGTATAAGTCAAACTGAGTTATTTGCAAAAAATCTGATAAATTTTGCAAAAAACCTTAGACATAATAAATGGCACTTTTTTGTGATAGATAAATGCTTTATTAGGTAAAATATAATGATTTTTTTCTTAGAAAAGTTATTGGGTTTACTAGAAAAGGAAGAAAAATTTGAAAATACCGAGTTTTGCCAGTGAACTATGTAAATACAGATTTATGCAACTAACATTTGCAAATACATGATAATAGTCAACCATTAACGATATTAGTGGTTGTTATATTAGTCTGTTTTCTAAACCTAGTGTGTTAGGAATAAGGAAGAAAGCATGTGGAAATAAACTTTTAGTGAAGTTTATTTTTATCCAAAGTATAAAAGGTATTACAAATTATAATATGTATATATTTATATTAATTCCTAAACTCTAAGTTCCTCTGGGTCCTCATCATCAATATGATCATTTTCTGCAGCACTCTCGTTATTATTTGCTTGTACGCCAGTATCTATAATTTTATAAAATTTGAGATCCGGCTGGTCTCTCCAATTTTCACCAAAATGGTTTCTAAGGAGAGTGCCTATGGACGATTTATGTCCTTTCAATGAATATCCAATCTGTTGTAACTTTGGTTTCAATAAAGAAATCTTTTTCCCTTTTCGTATTATAGACTTGCTGAACCGTATGTCAGAACGATAAAATATTTCTCCCCTTACCGTAGCCATATAATCTTTGTCCTTAGAAAATATAAATCGTTTCCTTGCATTACATTTAAAATGCCACCGGGAAGGTTTTTTAACAACAACGTCACTCGTCTTTCTCCAGTCTGATATGTGTTTTCCAATTATGTCTTTATATTCTTTTCTGTTTATTACAACGTTCTTCTTTTTTATCTCCCTTTCTATCATACCGAAAATCCTATCTGGTGGCAAAAAGGAATGACCAACAACAGGAAACGTAAACTCCACTTCCTTGATGTGACCAGGTGCTTCATAAACCAACCAGTAGATTATCATAGACATCATCGTGCTATTTTTGTTCTGTCCACCACATCCATCTGCAAATAGGTGAACTTTTTCGATTTGATTGTTAAAGTTGAATTTTATGAGAGTATCATGTACAGCAGAGGCAACAGCATTTGAATCTTTTGAATGTTCAAACTCCAGCCACACATATGACGTCACATTTGCAGAAGAAAGATGGGATTTCGAATTTCCAGCCACGATGGTGAAATTATAAAAATTTATTTGCTGTGAGAAATAAGCCGCCTGGTCGGGAAGCTTTGGCAAAGAAAGATTTTTTTGACAATCAAAAGAAAATATTTGTATGTTATGATTTGATTCATTTTTAACAAAGAATAAAATTCTTTAGCTCTTAACATATGAACTCTCTGCTCTGTTATAACCTTTAATTTTTCTTCTTCTGAATTTTTTTTTCTCAAAATTCCCTTCGCTCTGAGACACGCAGAACAAGCATCTACTAAGAGAGTGCCGAATGATATGTTGTAGTGTTCATTAACGTATGTTCGGAAATATGATAACTTTACGGAATGATGTGGATGACGTTGACAATACATTCTGTAAAGCTTTGTAAAATTCAGATCACATGGTAAATACAATCTAGTCGATCGTCCTCTATTATAATGACTCTCCGCACCGTTCAAACGGCCCATAAATGTTTGGATAGATAATTTTATTGGATCAAATCTACCTTTTGTTGTATCTCCCCCTCTTCTCTCTTTTGGCATTTCACCCCGGATAACAAACGTTCTTACAACACGCTCTATTCTTCTCAGTCAACCCTCTACTGTAGGAACAAAATATTTAATTGAAATTCCATGTAGGCTTGTACCTGATCTCTTGGGCTTTTGACCTTCACAAAATTTCAGCAAAAAAATATCTTGTTTTATTTTGTCAGTTATTGAATACAGATTATTATGGAAACGCTGAATGTTTCGCATTTTTAAATCTATACAACAATACACTTTCTTTGTATGGTTACAGGTGGGAAAACCGGGTAAATCCTTAGGTTTATGCCTAAAAATATTGACAATAAGTCCCAAACCTATCTAGTTAATTGTAGACACCTCTTACCTCCTAAGTTTCATTACATTTCGTTTCCATTTTTCTGTTTGTACAACTCGTTTTCTCCCTTTTCCTTTTTCACAAGGTCTAATATGCACATGAAGATCCATAATGTTAATTATTTGCAATAAACTTGGTGTGTTTAGTACTCAAATAACAAACAGTGAAACCGGTAATGACAATTGATGGAATAATTGACATGTGCACATGAGACGTGTCATGTGACTCAAACAATGTAAGCGATTGGCCAATTGCAATTACACAGTTATGCAACTGGCATAGGCTGACAAATACAGAGTTTTGCGTCTGACTCAAGATTTCTAATGCCTTTTTCTTAGTAAATACCTTACTTTGCTGCTGAATTTCTACATCAGCAGATAGCTATAACATGTGACAAATAACTGTCAGCTAAAACTCAATTTTTAAAATTTTTGCAAATACAGAGTTTTGCATCTAGCGGACTCATATGTTAACAATAACTTGTTCTAGACGTGTAGTTTATTACATTTTATTAAAGTATCGTTTAATAATCGCCGCTTATCTTACGAATTCAATAAAACTGTCATTTATGTTATTACTGTTTTTATAGGAACACCTCTATAGGCATAGTTGCTTCGACGATAGAAAATTCGACCTGTTCATCCCTCGAGTTTGGGTAGTACTAAAGAGATACGCCACGTTTCTAGGTGTCAATCCGTCACCTAACACCGCCAATGCTGATGTTCAAGACACGCAACAGAGTCTGCCGGTTACAGTCTTTGAGTGTCTCAACAGAGCCTTTGGTGTCACCTTCGAATGTTTTGCATCACCTCTAAATTGTTATTTTAGACAGTACTGTTCGGCGTTCGCCGATTGTGATTCTTATTTCGGAAGTAGGGGGTGAGTATACATTATTATAAATTTTCTAGTTTGAATTAATATTAATGTGAGTAAATTAATTTGAGCACACCTAGCTTTCGACTTCCTCTCTGAATTATTCATCAGAGCATCGGGGTCTCAGCCCCCTGAACCCCCAGGTCACTATATACCGTTCACTGCACTAATGCACGAGTTGTCTTTCTTCTTTCCTTTGATCAATTTCATAACATTGTATGTCTATTTAGAAACTAAATAAACACGATTTTTAGATATTTAATTTACATTTTAGCTCATTTCTCAAGCTGAAGGCAGTTTCGGGCTCATTCGAAGCGAACCCCCCGTACTGCGAAGAACTAATGGAAGCGTCCGTGGACCATATGGAACGGTTATTAAGCGACAGTCCGGAACCTTTAAGTTTTATAGTTTTAATGCCCGATTACAGGGAACCCACCCCCGTTGCATTGCAGAGGCTCGAAACGAGCCAGTTTAAAAGGAGACAGGTAATCGTGCCGGCGTACGAGCACGAATTTAGGCATGGATTTCAACACGTACTAAGCAAGTAAGTATAGTAGAATTTTGGATAACATTACCACTCTATCGTTAAGGCTCATCCTCGAAAATCCTAACGGTAAATTTCAGTGGGCTATCTCTATTTCAAAAATTTCTTTCTTTACGAAAACAAAATCTGTTCATGAAGTAATGTTCTATTATTCAAAAAAATCAAAATTCCAGCCCATTGTTACTTGAGAGCTTAGGTAGTCCATTGCCATTGTGTTTTATGACTAAAAAAAAAACCCAAAGAAGTTATTTTGAGTATTCCAAGTTGTTGCAACACCCGATACTTCTCAATAATTAAACTTTTGATTAAAATTTATTGAATTTTTAGATCGGAGATGAACGTCCGTTCAGTTCACGCCACTGTCATCGTCTGGTTGCAAAATTCGGCCGGCCATCAGCGATGGGAACCGTCGGAAGACCGAGTGCAAGCCCTTTTAGAAGCATTTAGACCTGGTAGGGAGCGCGAGCGTGATAGACAAGAACTTTTGAGTCCCACACGACAGGGAAGCACGTCAGATAGTAAAGATGTCGTGGTGCACTGATAATTTTTATTTGATAAATTTTTATTTTGACATGGTTTATCCTATTTCGAGCAAAATTAGGAAAAGGGGGGTTCGAGTGGATTTCGGGAAGTAAGGGTTTGTGCAAATACAGAAAGAAAGATCTATACACAAAAAAATTATGTTTTATGAATTTTGTGGATAGTATGTCAGATTTTGCTAGTAGTGTATTAAAAACGATTCAGACAGATAGTTTAATGAAATCTAATTTGAAATTGAGAATTTTTACGATATAAAATACGGCTTAAAAATTATTTCAGAATTTAGGTATATTATCAAATGTATTAACCAAGACTGGCTTAAGTTATCATGGGATTTCTTTTGTTTCTACGATTCTGGTTTTATTTTCGCTAGTGATATTATTTCTGTGGCATATATCTGGGTATGTTACATTGCTGCTTTATATCGTTTTGGAATATTTATTGGTTTTCCTGGCTTTATATAGCATTCATCAGAGCATACTTTCATTATTCTCACGTTTAGCAAATATTGCGCTGTCACTTCATCCTCCTTCCTTTTCCTTGGCCTTCCTTTTGGTCTTGCACCCTGCATTTTACTATCTAAGGTTCTTTTTGGCAATCTTTCGGTCTTCATTCTCACTACATGACCAGAGCTTCGAAGTTAGTATTTTCTGAGCTCGTTAAGCAGTGCTCCTGGTTTATAATGTGTCAGGACGTTCCAGGTACCAAGTGCGTAGTCCATACTTCTTTGCTTAAGTCTTCGTCGATAAGACCGATCTATCCGAGGCTTATTTTTTCGTGGTGTTGTACTTTTTACGGTAATATTGGATCATTGCCCAACTCTTAACCTGAAGGAGCAGAATGTTCTGTCCATAGTGTTCAGATGCAGATGCAAAAACTCGCCTTTTACCCCCTCTCGCCGGCTACATTACGCACACTCATTGTAAGCCATGCACCTAGTAGCTATGCGGAAAAAGCCTTCGGAGACGTGAGAGTAGGATTTGTTGGCAGAAGCTGAGTTTTATTTCTAGAACCTACCACTCTTTCTTCGGAAATAGTGGACATTACTCCGAGTTTTGTTACAGTATGAGCATCGGCAACCCATACTGCCTCCAAGATCCTTTACCAACCTTAGACTATCAAAAAGTCTTAACAGTAAGTTTAGTTCGACTTTTAGTAAGGTGTGATAGCAATTTTTGTATTGTATGTTTCCTGCACTGATTTTTATTCTCTACTTTCCCATCCATTGGTTATTTTTGCCGACTGTTAGTATACCTGAATCGTTAGCATAGGTAACTGTTTTAATATTTCGCTCTTTAGGTGTGTTCGTGTGTATTACCACAAGTAAAGATTATAACGTTATTCGGTGTTGTTTTGCAGCTATTTATTTGCGGCATTTTAATGATATTTTACCCTAAGTGGAAATTCCTGTTAAATATAGTAAATAACTTTTTTTGGTAGTTGTTTATAAGTATTTCGTCAGTTAGTCAGTATTAGGCAAGAAGCCTTCATTTTAAAGAAAAATAGTTTATTCAAATTGATTTTCACAGTACTGTGATAAAAAAAATAATCTTGGAAATTATGTAAATACACTCTAAAGATTGAGTAAAAATTAAGCAAACTTAATCGTAAATGCCATATGTCTGAAATGAAAAAATGTGATAATTAGCGTAAACCTTTTAAAATCTGATGTACTATCTAATTTTTAAATAAGTCTCATAATACTGATCATTATTATTTGAAAGAGCAACATATATATCTTTGTATAAGATGTATCTATTGTGTGTTCATTTTTTGGACTTCCATCCCTGTATATAATTTTTAAATTGAGATATAAAAAACGCTGTATTTAAACTGCCGTCAAACGGTCGTGCACTATAATGCCGTTAACAGCTATGCCGTCATTCTTATGATGCATTTGACATTTTCTTCTGCTGCCGTCCGCTTGGAGGCTAGCCACCCTAGTATCAATTTCTGATAAAGAATTTATTAATATTAGAAGATTTTCTTATAAACGAAAAAGAAAACAAAGTGAAGTAATAAAACGTGTTTTAATTATGGGTAATGATAAATACATAATTAAATTAGTCTTTATTTATTGTAAAACCTGTTGTAAACTAAGAAAAAAAGTAATTATAGAAATTTAATCCTTTCTTTGGAGTGGAACCCTGGATTTATTTGGAAATGTTTTGGGGTTCAATTTCTTTTTCTTTGGTAGTCCTTTTGCTGCCAGGCCTTGTTCTTTTGGGCGTCCTCATTTCTTTACTGCCACTGGCATTTTAATTGTCGACAAAGCAACATCGTTCACTTGAAGAGCTTTTTGTTGTATATTCCCCTCCAGGTTATCTACCCTACTTATCTCTTGACGAACCACCTCACCACACAGCTTATTTTCACTTTCAAATACAACTTCATCATTACTGTCAATATTAACTTGCGTGTCATTTTCGTCTGTAACATCTATAGGTGTAAGTAGAATAGCAGTATCATTGGCCCTCAGTGTTTTGAGATTAAACACAGATGGACTCAGTTATTTACATAAAATTGTGAAGTCAAAATTATTTGAATAGGTCACATTCTCAGCACCTTCAACTGTTGTCACGTTTTTTTTATTAAAATTTCTTATTCGCGAGTCGCTGAAAATATTACTCCGTATTTTATACTCTACAGGTGCTATCAAACCAAAATAATAATGTATTGGTTATATTATTATATTTAATTGTAATCAAAATATCAAATGTGTACATAGTGTGCATTATCATTTAATAATAGCGTATAATAGATATCAATCAATTATTTTATATGTAGAAGCACTGAAAACTATTTATAAATGGCAACGGTTGTTTACATTTCTCTGTCTTATGGCTCTACGTCAAACTTCAAATGCTGTGCTGTTCCATGTTTGTTTACTTTTTACAGTAGATGAGAAAAAGTTGTTTTTCGATATTTTGGCTGTATTTTGAATGATATTTGTGAAAAGTGAAATAAACATACTATAATAATGGTGCTACAGTGTTGCATTTAAAAAAAAAACGAAATATTTACATCCTGATCTTATTTCATTTGTAAGTACTGTCTATTTAAATTATTTAAGATGAGGAACTGAGGAAGCGTGTTTGTTTACATTTTAAAACATGTCTTTCATAGGCGTATCATTGGGTTTAGTCATGTTCATTAATGTATTAAATAAGATATGAGTTCATGAAATTAGTAGACATTTTTAAATTGTAAGTAGACATCATCTGATTAAAAAATATCTGTTTAGTACCTTTTTAATTTAATATTTCTCATGGATACAAATAAATTAGTGAAATGAATAAAACTCATTTATTTTTCTATGTAGGTTTCCAAATAATATCGACAATCGAACTATTTGGGTAGCAAATTTAGGAGAAAACATAAAGATTTTTTATTGTAGCATTATTTTATACCATTACCTATAAAATTACCCATTAAAAAATTAACTTGAATTCAACTAAGTATATTTTATTATATTAATTTTAAAGCAAATAAAATTGTATTTTAATTTTTCTATAAAGACGTGATTTGTTAATAGTTAAACTCTCGTTTTTTTTTAATTCTTTGAACGTGTTTTTATACATTATTACTACTTCCAATTTTTGAAGTCTGAATAATTATCCCCACGAGTAAAAATTCAAGCACGCTTATGCTCATTGAGGAAGCATCACATTCTATCGAAGCTTCAAAACATTGTGTGTTAAAGGTATCTTATTGCTGTGTCCATTTGTGTTTATACGTCCATGGATTAAATCTTTGCTCAAATAACATGCCCGTACGTTGTGCAGCTTTATATTATTATTCCCACAATAATTAACAATTAGGTACAAATTTAACGCTTGTAACTATATACTGAAACGGGCATATATGCTGAATCTTACGTGAATGGGCACATACCACGTGTATATATGCTGAACCGCAGCCGAAGAAAATGCCGTCAAACGTATCATACGACTAACGTCATAGTTGTTAACGACATTATAAAGCAAGACCGTTTGACAGCAGTTTAAGTACAGCGTATAAAAAAACTAAGACGCTATAGTTAAATAGATTTGAAACAATTACAATTTTTTTTATTTCTTTCAAAATCTAAAGACAGTATTAGAGAATATAATTATCTGTTTTGGTGCGGGAACAAGAATCCCATTAAAATTGAGAGAATCTATATATCTTTTATTTTTATTTATAAACGTATTTTTTTTATATATGTATATTGTATAATATTCTTCCTTATTCATCGAGGGCACCGATAGCTGATTATTATCTGCCGATCTGCCCTTGATTATTATAAAAGTGTAAAATTAAATATGATTAATCGGCTTAACGAAAAGGTATATTGAATGAAGACGAGACTAGGTAGTTCCGGAAGAAATATTCTTCTGGGTAGAAAATATTGGAATTAGATCTCAAAGAAATTTTATGTTTAACTTATTTTTTCTATAATATTTGTTGCATGTCATTGATCAGCCATTTAATTGTTTATGTCATGTTGACAGTGGCTCATTCATCGAGCAAAAAGACAATAAAGGGAATGTAAAGGTAGTGGGGGCAAACATATTGTTAGACAGAAAGTGCGATCTTTAGAGGCCACTTTAAACAAGGAAAGAGAGTCTCTCTCCTTGTTTGACATCAAATTTAGTTGGGTTATGTTATTGTTTATCCCAAATGTCACATGAAATCTTATTTATATTGAAGTTTTTTAACAATTGTGTCGCATTTTAGACTCTTATCATTAATAATTAATTAAAACTTGCTCGTCTAAGACACATTCTGAAAAATATTATATAGCTACTGTTGATAAGTGTCGGAAAATTTAAATTTCGCGCATTCGCATTTCCGGATATGTCCGCCATCAGAGGCCACTTTTTTGGTCTCCTTTTCATAAGGATTATATTCCCTCTTTTGTCTTATTGCTCGATGGGCTCACTATATAAAAGTATATGCATAATCTATATAAAAGTTGAAGTGATGAATGAAGCGATGAAAGGTGGTTACAGTGTATTATTTGTTGCATAATTAATATTCAAACGTTCAAAAATAAGCCTCAGA